ATAAGGAAATAGATGTGATATAATAAAATCTGGTAATGTATAAAAGGCAACAACAGTATGTCTGGAACATGGTAAATTTAGATGCATGCCAAAATTGTGTAAGCCTATCTATCACCTAATCTGTGTTTTGCTGTTATGGATTGTATATGTATGAAAACAATGAAACAACTCAGCAAAGCACTTAAACACGTCACACATTAAGTATGTAAGTCCCATTGAAATCACTGGCACTTCAGCACATGCTTAAAGTTAAGCAGATACTTAAGTTCTTTGCTGAATCAGAGCCGAAACTGTAAAAAATAAGAAAAACATATGCACATATAGCCAGTCCGTCATCTGTATTTACATGACGATGAGCTAAGATACCAAAAGTTTATGTCTCAAAAAATGGGGCAATGTGTGTATGGGGAGGAGTGGAATCAAATTTTAATGTGGGTGTATACTGTACCCACACACACTTTCCATGTAGTCTAGCAGTTAGGATTGCTGTTTTTCACCTAGGAAGCCCAAGTTCAACTCCTAGAAAGTGAATTACACAGGATTTCTACTTTTTGAGAGGAGTGTAGATTTTGTGATTAAGACATGACGGGGATTCAGTTTCTAGCTTGTCACTGACTTCCTGTGTGACATTGGGCAAGTCACTTAATCTCTTATCCTCAGTTCTCCTCCACCTGTAAAAGGAGAATAATGCTTCCTTTCTCCCATCCTTTGTCTGTCTTATCTATATATTGTAAGCTCTTCAGGCCAGGCATGGTCTCTTACTACATGTGGGCTCAAGCCTGCAAGATGCTGAGCACTTTGGCCCAGAAAAGCATTCAAGCATGTCAGTAGTTCCACTGACACCAGCAGACTATTCATGTCCTTAAAGTTAAGCATGTGCTTATGTGCTTTGCTGCACTCAGGGTAGGTCTACACTTACCTCCGGGTCCAGCGGTAAGCAATCGATCTTCTGGGATCGATTTATCGTGTCTTGTCTAGACGCGATAAATCGATCCCGGATGTGCTCGCCGTCAACGCCGGTACTCCAGCTCGGCGAGAGGAGTACGCAGCATCGACGGGGGAGCCTGCCTGCCGCGTCTGGACCCGTGATAAGTTCGAACTAAGGTACTTCGAATTCAGCTACGTTATTAACGCATGCTTGACACTGCAAAGTTCTCAGCAGCACTTTAGTCTGAGGCCTGGTCCACACTAACCCCCCACTTCGAACTAAGGTGCGCAAATTC